GCAGAATTTGTTTGAAGTTGTGGTACGTTTGGAAAAGCGTATACTCAATTCTTAGAGTGCTGTAAGCACTGCAGTCGAATATAAGGTGTTCCGCCGTTTCCTTAGTGTTGCACGTATTACAGGTATCTGACCTGTAATGTTGAAATTTGTTTAAGTACGTATTACCGTATGTATGTCCTGTTGCAATTCTGTTAAATAGTTTTATGTCGTATGCTTCTAAGTTCAGTTTTTTGTTTTTTAAACCACGGATTGTTTATTTTCAATGTACAAAATTCCGCAATGTCAGGGTCCCAGTTTGGTAGTTTGTTGTTAAATTCGTCTTTGGTTTCAGTCCACAGTCTGGTGCTTATTTTTAGGAGTGCTTCATTTGGGCTTAATTTAGGAGAGAGAGATTTACCGAAATCAATTGCAGTTTTTGCAGCAATGTCGGCTTTTTCGTTTATAGTTATCCCAACATGACTGGGTGTCCATACTATCATTATGTTTTCTATGTTGGATCTGTGTAGTTTGTTGTGAATTTCTGCCACAAGGAAGTTCTGTGTGGTGTGATTGTCGAGGGCTTTGATTGCTGCCTGGCTGTCTGTGAAAATTGCTATCTTTTTGTTCCCGCTGTTGCTTGCTATTGTAGCTGCCTGAGGTAGTGCAACTAGCTCACCGTAGGTTGAGGTAAAATTTCCGTCTATGTTAAAAAGGTATGAGACATTGGTTGTTTCCACGTACACTGCACATCCAACTTTATTTGCCATCACCGATGCATCAGTCGCATATATGTAGTAGCCATCATCCTTCAAAGTGTTGATTTTTTGGTTATAAATTGCTCTAAGTTGTGTGGAGGAGAAATTTTTTTTTGAGTTCGATAATTCAGATTGAAAAAGGGTAATATTGTTATGTCTGTTAAAGGCAACATTTGTGTCTATGTTGTTTATGGTTACTTTGAATTTTTCATATGTTCTACTATAGCTTGAATTTATGGCCGGTTTGTCTTGTAATTGGGTTCTTAGTGCCGGGTTGAGGAACCATTGTTTGACCAGTTCTTTAGCTGTCAGCCACACTGCTCTAGATAGAGGTGGGAGTTCGCAGGCTAGCGCGTATCGCATAAGTGTTGGGGTGTTAGGTGGTACTCCTAGACATCTCCGTAGCGTTTCATTAACGCTCGTTTGAAGTTGCTTGTTGTAACCTTTTGGTGCATTGGCGTAACTGGTGCTGGCATATTCAGCTTTGGACCGGACGAATGCTTTAAACAGATTTATTGAGGTTTTAGGGGAGATTCCTGCTTTAATTGATGTTAATTTCGAAATGAGGTTTTTACCTGGAGTTACAGCTTTTTTAATGTTGCTAATATGTACCTTGACCGTTGAGTTTGCGCTGATGGTTCTTCCTAACCACTTAAAGCATTGGACTTGTTTCAAGTTTGTGCTGTTGATTGATATGTTGAACTGTTGTCGGTTATTTGCGGACATATACATGAATTTTGTCTTTTCTAAGTTGAACTTTAGATTTAAGTTATGTAATTCTGCTATTTTATCTTGTAAATTTTGAACTGCTGCTGTTTTGTTTGAGTTTGTGGATACTATGGCTAGGTCTTCAGCGAATTGAAATAGGTGCGTGTGAGGATTGTTGATTTCGTGTAGTTGGGCTGTATATATATTAAATAATGTTGGAGATAAACAGCTACCTTGAGGTAAGCCTGAGTGTATTTCTACGGCATGTTTTCCTAAGGTAAGAGTCCTTTTGGAGAAAAAGTTATACGTCCAGTTTGCTATTGATGTTTCTATGTTAGTCTGTAATAGAATATTGTAAAGTGCTACTAAGTCAACTCTGTTGTAGGCATCCGACATATCTAAAAAACATATAAAAACAAAGTTTCTACTGTTCTTTTTATCCGCGACTAGATGAAGCATCTCATTGATGCACATCGTCGCTGATCTTAGTTTACGGTAAGCATAGCTATTGTTGGGTAACTTTTTGTTAGTTTCTAGGAAATCGTTCAGCGATTCCTTAACCATCATATTTATGCTTTTGGCTACTACTGATATTAGTGAAATTGGTCTATAGTTGTTTATGTCATCTGTGCTCTTATTTGCTTTGGGGATTGGTATTACTTTTATTAATCTCCAGGCATTTAGGACTCTGTTGCTGTGAAAGTGTTCTCTCAAGGATGTTAGTAAATTTTGCTTCGCCTCGGTAGACAGTTGCTTTAGGATATTGAATGTGACCCTGTCGAGCCCCCCAGCTGTTGATTTTTTCTTCGCTAGTAATTTTTCAAATTTCATGTATGAGAAATCAATGCTCCCGTTTGACGCGCTTGGAGACGCGTGGAATGATGGACAACACGTGATATTGTGATTGCTAGCTTGTTCCGCTTGTTCTTTTATAATTTCTAAATAGTTGCGGTCGTCTTCGGCTGCCCAGTTGTGCAATGGCCTTTTATTTCCTTTGACATTTCTTATGAAATTCCATGCATTTTTGGAATTAGGGTTAGCATTGATTTCTTCTATTTTATTGTTATAGCTAGATTTTTTTGCTTTCTTCACTGCATCTTTCCAGTCACCGGTTGCCTTAATTGATTCCTCCATGTCTTCTATGCGGTTAGTATGATTTGCTTTTTTTCGTTTTGCCACGTGTAGTCTGTAGAGTTTATTGAGTTCCTCGCTCCACCATTCTTTAGGAGTGCGATTAGCCTTATTTAAATCAATTTTTATTTTATTCTTGACATTGTCAATCACATTTGTGAAATTTTCTAGATCATCAAAGCTTACCTGCGCTAACTCCCAAGCCAGCTGTTTCTTGGGGATAAAGAAGTTGGGTTTCTTTCCGGTGTTTGTTATCTCTATGGTGATAGGAAAATGCTTGCTGCCTCCTAGATGTACTTGGTGACATTGCCATTTTATCAAACTGCTATTTATATTTGTGAACGTTATGTCTATTACAGACCCGGCACTGTTTCCGGTACGGTGGGTAATAGTTCCGGTGTTGATGCATTGAAGGTTTGTATAGCTGATTTCGTTGATAATAATGCTTCCTTTGGAGTTGCATATTCTGTCTCCCCATGCCTGATGTCTAGCATTGAGATCGCCAGCAAGAATAACGTTTTCGTGGTTGTTTAGTGCGATAAGTACACGATTTAGTTCGTTAGTAAAAATAGTAGTGTTGATGTTGGGAGGGAAATATATATTACAAATTGTTATGTTTCTGATTAAATTAGTGGTTTTAGCTATAAGGATGTCAAAAGTGGAGACAAATTTGATTTTAGTGAATTTAATACCTTTTCTGAATCCGATTCCTACACCACCGTAGCCGTCGGTTCTGGTTTTTCTAAGCAAGTTGAAGTTGAATAGGTTATGAATTGTTGTTTGGTTGTCATGTCAGAAAATCTCCTGAAGGCATACTATATCAATGTTGTTGTTACTATTAAAAAGGTCTACATAGTTTTTATTGCTTTTTAAGCTTTGTATGTTATATTGTAATATTTTTATCGAACTGGTCATCATTGCTAATTGAAATTTTGTCTTGTATGTGTACTTTGCCTATATTTTGAATAAGGTTGACTAATGGGTCATTTATATCAATGTTATACCTTTTTATTAGAAGATTTACTAGCCTCTCTATCTCTGTTACCTTACTCCAGTTCGCCATTTCATATACAGGCTGTATGCTTGCTTTAACTCTCGGGGCGTTGTAGGTTGGCTTTGGTGGTGCGGATACTTGTGGAATATTTTTCTTTACAACTTGATTGTATTTGGTAGTAGTGAGTTTTTTGTTAACCACTTCGTCGTTATTGATCGTTACTGTTTTTTTTGTATCTAAATGAGGGAAGTTCCCTTCAAAATCGTCTAAAGCAGAGAATCTGTTATTATTGTTGAGATTGTACATCCCTATCGCCTCTGATTTTGATACCTTTTTAATGGTCATTATTTCTACTACCTTTTTTTCTTTTGCCCATACGGAGCATTTGCTACTTTCGAGTGAGTTGTGGGTATCGCCTCCACATAGTATGTATGATTTTGTGTTCTGGTTACATTTGCTATTGCAGCCCTCTGCTTTACCACAAACTATACATCTGTTTGCTGCTTTGCACGCCATTTTATTGTGGCCTAATCTTCCGCAGTTATAGCAGTGTCTAATTCTTGGGATATAATGGACAATTTTTATCTTTACATAGAATATTTCAATTGATTCTGGTATCTCGTTACCTTCAAAGGCTATCTTTACAGAGTACGTCGGGATGAATTTTTCTTTGTCATTAGGGTCTCTTCTGGTAATCCTTGTAATTGATGTGATCGGTATGTCTGAAACTATATTGTTCTTTATTTCCTGTTCCGTGAAATTAAGTGGAATTTGCCTCGCTACTCCGGTGGTTTCCACCATGCTTTTGGGTATGAACGGTCTCATATTATTTTTGAGTAAGTCCGGGTTGTCTATGCATTTGTTTGCTGCTTCGAAATTTTCAAAAAAAAATTTATAAAGCGACCTACCTATTGCTTTTATTTTTTTTATTCCTAAAATATTAAAGTTTTTTATTTTGTCCCACAGGAAGAGACCATTTCGCATTTTGTCGTTTTCGATCATTGTAGATTTAGAAGTGTCCACTAGTACACAAAAATCGCACTTGTGCCTATTTGTGTAGCGCACACTGTTGGTGTTTTCATTTTCGCTCTTTTCTTTATTCGCACCGCTACTTTCTGTTGTATCTATTTTTTCACTGTCCGGTTTTTTGTGATTTGCATTTTCACTGCTTTCGCTGATTTTGTCCGCATTGTCCGTTAGATTTATTTGCGCATTTTTCACGTATGTGCCTTTTTTAACAAGCATCCCTTGTAACGGGATAAACATGCCGTTATTACTTTCAGTTTTAGTTTTTTTGGTTTTGCTAGAATTTTCTGTCTGTTTGGTACAGTCATCGTCAGTTTCGGAATTTCTTCCTGCCTTGTCAACCTTTGCTACTTTAGATTTTTGCCTTTTCCTAATGTTAGCCGCTTGTTTCCC